AGAGAGAGAGAGAGAGAGAGAGAGAGAGAGAGAGAGAGAGAGAGAGAGAGAGAGAGAGAGAGAGAGAGAGAGAGGGATGAGCAGAAGGTTTATTTCAAATAATAATGAGAAATGCCGCGGAGTACGGATACACAGTTGGGAACTGAAGAAGAGCACATAGATATACCTTGCTGTAAAAACAAAAAAAGCAAAAATTTGAAAACAACAGTTTTAAGTTTTAACTTCTTGTTTCACCTGTCATCAAGGTAATCCGGGGACGGACACCCTTTCCATCTATTGAACGCTACCATGATGTTTTTTTTGGGGGGGTGCGGGTGGATAGACGTAGCAGGTTTTTCACTTCGTTCCCTCCGCTGTAAGCATCAGGGTAATCTGGGGACTAGTCAAATTGCCCTTTCGTCTACAAGGGTGACATTGAAATTTACCTTGAATGCCAACACGGCATCTACTTTTGACCCATTTATGGTCATGTTATTATTATAAAATATTACTGTCATAGTTTGTCAGCAGTACATTTTTTCTTTTTAAATTTTAATTTAATAATAAATTAATATTAGTATCGTACTATCGTGTATCAACTTTGTCTTCCGGGGCATCTGTTAAAGCTGGAACAGTACAGAAAAGATTAGCATGGCCCTTGCGCGAGGATGACATACATGAAGCGAGAAACGGTCCAAAGTTAAGAAAACGAGGAAAGAATCATTTAACTTTTTTTTCAAAACCTTTTGAGTCACCAACTGGCCTACCTCAGTTCACACACCCCTGAATTGTTTTTTGAAATACAGACCTAAATAATAATAAAAAAAGAAAGATAAAAAGAAAAGAAAAGAAATACAGACCTGGGTTCGAATTCCACCGGAAGCAGATGAGTAAATTGAACTAAATAGTAAATTCTGAATTACCTAAGGCCGGTCAGTTTTCGATGATGATATCTCAAGGCCATTGTCCTTTTTTTTCTACTAAAATTTTAAAAACTCAAAAAGAAAAAAAAAAAAAAAAAAAAAAAAAAGGAAACTTTTTGAGTCATGTACAGTGACCATAGTCATAACACCATTGGTAAACTTGTTCGCAGGACCCTCACCAAATCAATCAGCTCCGTCACATTGCTGTTTCTTGCAGCACCAAAGAATCCCAAGTATGCGTTCCGTGAAGTCCGGTTCGGCTCGTTGGCATTGTTCAGGTACTCAAAGAAAACGTCCAGACCACCTGTGTTCTCAAGGACCCTTGTGCTGAAACTCAAGTCACCAGTGCTCAGAAATTGCCACACAGATCTGCAACAGCACCACAGCAGCAAGTGCATGGAAAAGACAGAGGTAAGAGAGAGAGAGAGAGGAGCCCCCTTCCCTTACAGTAGGGCGCAGGTAGCATGGTACACAAAGAAATATAGATACAAGGTATAACTTTGTAAGTATATGAGACAGAGCATGCCTCATGAGGGACGCTGAGCCCGGTTCTCAGCAGGTTCTGTTCAGTTCTTCCGGGTAGACTGTGAGGACCCCGGCCTCAATTTTCTCATTGATAATATCAGCCTCGGGCACTACCATCTTCATCCGAATAGAACGCCCGGTCATTATAGCTGTAATTGGCACAACTTTC